TTGAGCTGGTCTTGTTAGGAGGATGGAACTTTTGTGAAATTGCTTGACCCAATCCATCCCAAGTTGCCTATAGAGTTATGGGAAGCGAGTTTAGCCAAACCTGAGCAGCTCCTGTCATCGAGAATGGAAACCATAATAATCTGATTGCTTCCGGAGTCACGTTCGGTTGCCTTTGAGTTTTGAAATAGATAGGAAGTTCTTTAAGGTGTTGCTGCGGGGTCTTCTGTTTGTGTCCCAGAAAAAAGTCCCTTGTTCTGCAACAAGTGTTAGCATGTTATTTGTTGATCTGGAACGTTTCAGCTTTGTATTGCGAGGGCAATATAATGCAGGCTGGATTTGTCAGCTGTGGGTTGTGCCCAGTTATAAAATGCACCCTCAGACAGGAGAGGTGCGATTGCTCATTCCTGACGTTCACGTTGGGGGTCGTTATATGCCGCCCATGTCAATTCGAGTTGGTGTATTTGTTGTGATTGTTGAAGTCTTATGTTTGCACGATTCAACTGCCAGGAATGTTCTTTTTCGGGGTCCGAGAGTCCTTCAAGCAATTCTCCAAGTCCTCGTAGAGGTTCTTGGCATGCACCTGTGCACCCAGATCAACAACCGTCAAATTTTCAATGAAAAAGTTGGTAGAGAGAAAACTGACTAGACAACAAGAATCTTTGGTATTTCTGTCAATGGCAATTGATAATTCCGTTAACTCCGGCAGCGGCCGCCAAAATTTGATCCACCTAACTGCCAACTATGCCTTATAAAAAGAACTCTGCGGACGTTGCAAATATAACCCGAGTATTACGCCCAGGGTCGAATCCACAGAGAGTTAACCTATCAACTGCTATCTTCAGACCCACTAAGTCTTTAGAACCAGCTTCCCAAATATTCAAATCTCAGTTGAGTGTTCTTTAATAACTAGCTTGCAAATAACTAAATGGCTGTAACTAAGTAAAAATTAAAGGTTGTAAACAATTATGAGAAAAAAACTAAGGCAATGATTTCCCCTATTGATGGAATCCCTTCTGTTTATGCTCATACAAATTTACCCACACATCTCTATCAATCATGAACGCTAATCTTGCCGCAAATCTCTCCCGAGTAATCACAGTAATCTGCTATTGCACTCTCCCGAGATACACTAGCTTGCTTTATTTAGCACAATTCACTTTAGATTGCACCCAAGGCTTCGTTATTCCTAATCCCGCCTTTAAACCCGCAATTATAGATTTCTAATAATCTAGGAGTGGTGTTGTTCAACAATACCCTAAATATGCACTCTTTTCCAAGTTATGCACACTAAATAGGCCCAGCTAATTGAGGATCCTGTCAATTAACTACAACGAACACGAAGTTGAACAAATAAAGATTAAACTAGCAATTTGTATTCACATAAACAAGAAGTTCATCACCCAATAGGTTCCATCAACGCCTTAGACAAGGAATTTAGCTACTCATGACTATGGGAACATAAACTAAGCTTGAATTCATCATAAAATCAAAAGAAAAGAAGAAAGATGTTTAGAGTACTTTCTCACAATTGTTTTTCTTGCTAAGAAACCTAAAAAAATCAATACATGCCTCTCTTGGGCGAAGTCTACTGTTTTAAATAGGGTTTAGGTCTAAAAATCCCGTAATTGACACTTTGGTCCCAGAAGTTTCTGCGCCTGCCGCGGTTCTGCCGCGGTCGCGGTAGAACCGCGGCCAAACACCCTCGCGGAATCTTTGAACTTCTGCAGCTGCTTCCCACCGCGGTTCTGCCGCGGTCGCGGTGGAACCGCGGTGGATCCAGTTCTCTGAATCTTCGGCCTGTTTTTGCACGGGTCACTTAGGAAATTTCACAGTTGGCCTCTTTTTCATCACTTTTGACTCCAAAACTGCTCCTTAGCCGTCTTTATACATATATCACCTACAAATGATGAAAAGCACTAATAAGAGCATTTTGTCATCACTTTTAGCATTAAAATTACACAAGAAGGTGATTATTTAAGGTGTGATTATAGACAAATTCACCTATTATCATATATCCACTAAATAATCACGTAATGATTAATTTTCTTGTAACAATTCTCAGATGATAATTATAGAATAATTTTTTCACAAACTAAAGGATCATATTTTGTTAAAACATGTATTTTTGTATATTCATATTTTATTTGGCAAATAGAGTACTTATTATAGATTCTTGCATATCTTTATTTTAAAAGGCAGAACTGGGACTCGTCCGGGGCTCGTCCCGGGGCGAAGCACTCGTAAAACGTCCTGGGCTTATGTGTGGGGCTTAATTCCGTGAGACTTACGCCTCAGCCAGCGGGGCTTACGCCCCGGACACGCTCAACGCCCAACGTATTGGGCTCGCCTAATAGAACTTTATGCAATTGTACGTAACTAACCTTGTAAATCCTCAAATTTTCTTAATAAATCGTTGACTATTCAAAATTACTTTATTCCTAATTATAACTCGTTAAGTTGAGAGTATTTTATGTCATAATTAAAATAAAAATTATTGCACGTATCCACTAAGACTTCTACAATAGTTAAATTTAATTAAATTTTCATTTAAAAAGTATTTATTTATTAAATTTTGTTATGTCTTTACTATATAATAGTCCATAATATTTTTAATAATTATTTTTCTAAATATTTTTTTCCACGTATACGAGATACAATATTGTTTAATTTAATAGCTCAATATTAGCTAGTAACTATTTATATATAATTAATTATCATGGTATTGTATGGTGAATTATGTGTCGCTTTATTAAATTGTTGAAACTTAAAAATGAATGATACTTGAGAATCATATTTAAATTGTGAATTATGTTTTTATATAAATTCTCTTTAAAATAGAAAGCATGTAAAATAAAAGGAGTATTCCAAAAAAAATATCAAATTATATTATCAACTTCTTTCAAGATTCATTACTCCTTAAGAGATACATATAAGATTTCCTATCGACTATATTACTTTTGATGTTTTGAGTTGTAACGACGTTGCAACTAATTTGCATATTATGATATATGTCATACTTTTCGTATTATTCATAGTTGAATTAAAATTTATAAATATTTTAAATAGATTATTTGTTATAATTTTGTGATTTTAATGTAATTTTTATAATTATTTTTTATTTTATACTATCTTAATTTAAAGATCCGTAGGACTTATGCCTCATGTCTCAGAGTTTATGCCTCGCCTCGTTAGAGTTAAAACACCTCGTCTCACACCCCGCCTTTTAAAATATTGTTGCATAATTTAATGTCAATAGATTTTAATGCAAGGGTAAAACAAAAAAAAAATCCTTACTTAGAGGACGAAAAAATAATTAAAGAGGCATGTGAAAATCTGGGTGGGATTTTCCAAAGCGGGTGTGTGTGGAGGGAAACCCAAAATTCACTTTTTGAACTCAATCTGAAAAAACAATTAACCAAAAAATTTCCCCGACAACCCCACTAAGCAACAATTTCCAAATCTTAAAACTCAAAAACCATATGCCAGCCAGCGCCCAAACTCAAAATTTTCCCAAAAACATTTCGCTGAATATGGCGCCATATAAATATACACCCATCTCTCTTTCCCTTCCTCAACTTTCACTTCGTTCTCGCTCCACACTTCTCTGCATCTCTTCACTCTGTGTATCTCTCTGTGTGTGTGTGAGAGAGAGAGAGAGAGTAGGAAGAAATGGCAGACCAAGAAAGTTCTATTAGAGTGACTCGATTAGCCAAGAAAAGGGCAGCAGAAGCTATGGTTCAGCACCTGCAACAGCCCAACAAGAAGAGAGTGGTGTTGGGTGAGATTCAGAATTTGTCCAATCAGATTCAGATGTTTGATTCTGAAAGTCTGAAGCCCAAATGTAATAAGCAGACTACAAAGAGGAAGGTGAAAAGGTCTGTTAGTGTGAAAGAGAAAGACTTTAGGGAGGAGGATGTTGATTCTAAATTGGATGATGACCCCCAGATGTGCAGCGCCTATGTTTCTGATATTTATGATTATCTTCATCAAATGGAGGTTAGTTGAGTTTCTCTTTTCATTAGATTAGAAATATAGCTCTAAAGATGTTGATTTCTAATATAGCTGTAGTTGGCAATTGAGTTTAGGTTGATATTATTGGGTAAAAATCTGGATTTTTTTTTAGCTATGTGAGGTTGTTTAGTGTATGTGCAGTACCATAATGTTGTTGGGATTTTGACAATTTGCATTAATTCAAATCAGATTCCTATTTTGCTGTAGCAGCTAAAGATTAGATCTTTGCAATTGAACTTTTGTTAATATAATTGGCTAGATAATCTGGAATTCTTAGCTATGTTTGTATGTAGTACTTTAAAATTATTGGTATTTGAGCTTTAAGTTTTTGACTAACTCTGTCTTTTTTCAAATTAGATTGAGAAAAAGAGAAGACCATTGTCTGATTACCTTGAGAAAGTTCAGAAAGATGTAACTGCAAACATGAGAGGGGTTTTGATAGATTGGCTGGTGGAAGTTGCAGAGGAATACAAGCTTCTTTCAGATACTTTATATCTTGCTGTAGCCTACATCGACAGATACTTATCGATAAAGGTCATCCCTAGACAAAGACTTCAGCTTTTGGGCGTTTCGTCAATGCTTATTGCCTCGTAAGTTTCACGGCCAAGAGTTGGTTTATTCTCCTGTGTGATTTTGCTTATGAATCTAATATAATCTGTTGTTTATGATCAGGAAGTACGAGGAGATTAAGCCTCCACGCGTTGAGGATTTTTGTTACATTACAGACAATACATATACAAGGAAAGATGTCGTAAAGATGGAGGCTGATGTGCTACAATCCCTCAAATTTGAAATGGGCAATCCTACAACCAAAACATTTCTCAGAAGATTTACTAGGGTTGCTCAAGAAGATCGCAAAGTAAGCGCACAAATATAACATGAACATTATGATACAGAATTCAACTGTGTTTTTGTTAAGTGGTTGCTTATCTTATTTTTTTTCCTGCTTTTTACAGAACCCCAATTTGAAGTTAGAGTTCTTGGGCTGTTACCTAGCAGAGTTAAGTTTATTGGATTACAACTGTGTGAAATTCTTACCCTCTTTGGTAGCTGCTGCTGTGATATTCCTTTCAAGATTTACATTGCAACCAAAGTTACATCCTTGGGTGAGGATCTTGTTTCAAAATGTTTGCTTAGTTTTAGTTCATTGATACATGAAAGTGTTGAATTAACTCTATCCATTTAATAGAGTGTGGCGCTTGAACGAAGCTCGGGATATAGAGCAGCAGATTTAAAGGAATGTGTTCTTATCATACATGACTTGCAATTAAGTAGAAGAGGAAGCTCTTTGGTAGCTGCGAGGAACAAATACAAGCAGCATAAGGTATCAATCCATGTTTGATAAATAATTTTGTTGTAAACAACTTCATTGTTCAGTAGTCTGATTTGATTTTCCTGTAACAGTTCAAATGTGTGTCAACATTGTCTTCTCCTCTGGAAATACCAGATTCATTCTTTGAAGATACAAGACAATGATTACTTGGGCATATGCTAGGGAATTGGAAGCATTCTTCAAGTTGGAAAGCTGGCTCAATGCCTCTTGATGCTTCAAAATTTAAAAGAAGCCATAGATCTTTTTGTACTATTTTATTTGGAGTTATTCTTATAACTTCCTATAATGTAAAATAATGAATTATGTTTTTGTAATCAATTTCTTTTTAATTGGCAATATATCGAAAATTTGTAACTTGTCTTGATATATTGTTGACTTAACCAGGTTCTTATTAATTCTAGTGTTTTATAAGAAATTCAACTTAGGTAATGATTATAAAAAATTGTTAAAATTATATTACAAGCAATATAAATATTTAAAGAAGTAATACAAACTGTCGCTAATTGAGTATGTCAATTAAAGTAATATCTTCTACTTGTATAATTACTCTTAGCACTTTTAAATTCAAAATAAGTTAAAACTATCAATATCATAATAACTATTGTGCTTTAAGAAATATTTAGTATTAAAATAATACCTTTTCAAGTCTAATCATTTAATAATCTAATTAACCTGTGCTTGTAAACTTATTTTTTAGTAATGTTTAGAGTTTTTAACCAAAATTGTCCCTTATGTTTGAGGTTAGATTTAACTTTATCCCTAAAATATACATTTGAACACATATCGTCCCTTAAGTATACCAAAGTTGAGCATGTTTGGTCTACTTAACGGAAGAACACAAACAGGAACAAAAAAACTAACGGCCTAACCATGTTGTTTAACCAAAAATTAGATTTTAGGTCAAAGCTTGAATTTAGAAGAACTCGGGTTACTGATAATCGGAAAAAGTATATAAGAAAGAGAATTTGAATAATATAATCAGAAAGCAAATAAAACAAGTATATTCCAGTAGTGGTTTTCGTGTCCCCTACAGATGTTGTGACTTTCTCTTTTTATAGTTAATTTTAAGTAAGAGAAAGTGTAATGCATTTGTCTTAATGAGGCAATTACGAGCAATAAATGACATTGAAAGAAACGTTACTCAATCATTCATAATAAATACAAATTCTCTAACGTATTTGGCATTTAATGCTGTATTTGGACTCTTTTTCGCTATCAGATTCTTCAATTCCTTCTGATCTTCGAACTTTAAATGACTCGAACAGGTACGAGTCTCGTTTCATTTGAATAATAGCTCGTGCCTTTAAGTATCTTCTCTCCCGCATCTGTTGTTGGTCGTGCCTTCTAACTGATTACCACGCTTTGACTATTTGACCGGTCCACGTGTCATGACACGTCATCTTCAATATTTAAATTCAGTTTTTTTCCAATACAGATAGTCCCCCCACTTTCCATTTATTTATCAATTAAATACTTGGGAAGTGGATCTTTCATTAAAAAGGGAATTTTTGCCATAATCAATGCTATGACAGTACTAACGCTTCAGTTGTCTTTTCTATTTAATGCATTGCATACGTGTCACCCTCTCATTAGCTTTGCAATTTCTGCAGCCTTTTTTCAAGGCTTCTTCAACTCCTCTATTCACGAAGTGATAGTTACCTTTATTATAGGCTTTCCATCATTACACTTCTTAGTCTTTGACGGTTGCTTTTATATAAGCTTAACCCTATTTTTACCACGGTCGCCCATCAGTATAAATTCAATTTTTCCTTTCACCTTTTACCACATAAAACTTTTTCCTTGAACGCTTGAATTGTGCGAATCTCTGTTTACTTCTTTCTCTTCTTCATCATGTCTTCTTCGAACCCTAACCCTAAGAGAGTTCCTATTTTAGACAATTTTCCCAATGCTCCTGTTAGACATAGAAGAGGTGGGAGACTTCATAGTTTAGGATCTTCTCGTGGTGGTGGTTTTGCCATGCCTTCTCCTAGCCCTGGTTCTTCCTCTAGAACTAGAGGTTCTTTTTCTAAAAAATCATCTTCTAAGAGCAAGGAGGCCTCTGAACCAATACAGGAACCCTTGGTAGAAGAAATAGTTCCTAACGAGTTATCTTTTCAACATGATAGACAATCACTTCAGACCCAAATTTCTGGTTTGGATCGAGTTGATGCTTACCCCACTATGATTACAGAGATTTTAGCTCCCATAGTTCGCAAAGATTGTCACTGGAGTAATGATTTTCCCATTGTAATCCCCAATCCAAATCAGAGGATTACTTCATATATGACTGGATTCTCTTTCGTTTACACATACCCTTTTACTTTTGGGTTTAAACCAGCTATTGACCCAGTAATTCTCGATTTCTGTCGTTTCTTCAAAGTTTGTCTAGCACATATTGGCCCGCTTGTATGGAGGGCTGTTGCTTGTTTAAGGCATCTGGCCAATTTAGCAGACGTTAATTTCACCTTCTCCCACCTAATTCATCTATACTCCCTTAGACTTTTTCGTAATGGAGTCTTTACCTTAGTGGCTAGGAGTAAGAGAGTCTTGGTAAGCCCAGAAGATGATAAGGATCGTGGCTGGTATGCCCGATTTGTTG